ATGATCTTATAAAAAAAATAGTAATGTTATGACAATTGGGGAAGGGGTAATTTGAACTTGGTATCTCCTGTTCACAGGAGAGGTGTGGCTACCAACTGGTTTATGTCCTGTCCCTGTCATATTTTCACCAAAATACCAAAAACAAAAGGATATAATGTTTCAAATGCCTTTTTACCCCTTGTGGATAAGGATTTGCTAGCATAGTATGCATAAAAGATACACATGCACGTACAAGTTTTAAATTCAACCACTGTACGTAATTTGTCTACTCTTCCAGTGCACGAACTTTTCAAATTTCAATTTTTTTATAAAGAGTCAGTGCACACACTTTTCAACCTTCAGAGTATAAAAGAAATTCGTGCTAAGTTTTAAAATATATTGCCTGTTGAAAATTTGTGACAGTTTGCTCCTGTCCGGATCTTGATTCTGACTTGGAAAGGTAAGCAAGAGAGGAAGCAACCACCTTTTCAGCCTGCAGAGAGATATGAATATATGATTTACATATTAAATCAAAATAAATACCAACAACGATAAGAAAAAGTGTAATGGGAACATTGGAAGATAAAGTGACTTTGACCTGTAAATAGCCTATTGACAGTCGCATTGCATAATCAGCAGCAACATGCTGTCTTTCTGTACCACTAACTGCATCATGATGTTGAGCAATAGCCAAAGCATCAGCTAATGCATCAGTGTTTGGTCCAGAATCACTTCTGCCTCGAAAGAATTCCAATTGCCTAGCTGCCTATTAGCAGAACAAGGAAAGCAATAGTAGTTAGAAAACCTATAAGGACCAACCTACTTGACACTAGAACCACATCACAAAAAGAGACGGGAGATCTTACCTGATAGTAACCACTCATACTTCTGACATAACCTTTAAGGGCTGGACGACTTGTAAAATAACCAGTCCAATATGCATTAGGTTTATCTGCATACCTGAAATTGGTACCGCTTAATACAAAGACTTAGAAATGTATGATAAGTAGGATTAAAAGGAAAGATTTGTTAAACTCACGGGAAGAAATCATCAGTTTTTAGAGGCCATTGTTCATTTGTCGCATATTTTGCATCAGTGTAGATTGATGGGGTTGAATACAATGCATTGACACGCCCATCCTATTTTCCAAATGAAACCAAATTTTCAAATTATCACTTACAATCTCATAGTTTAAAGGCTGGGATGAAACAATATAAGTCTTCTTGGTACATTCATTGTCTAGACGCCGTACTATAAGTACCTGATTGACATAATGAATGAATTTGTCCATCTGTCTGAACCATGAATATGCATATTGATAGCGGAAATCTGTCCCCATGTTCCACATAATATGGTTTGTTCTTGTCACATTAGCCTAAAGGGGGAAAAAAATTATTTACTGAATGCAACTGATAATCAAGTAAGAGAAGCCAGAGTGAAAACAGAAAAACATTATAGTTGATACAATTTGTTTTAGGCCCTACCTGTGCTAAAGCAGCTGCTACAAAGTCGTTGACTCGCTCTTGAACATTGTAGTCGAACATGAGAACGTCATCCTTCATACAAATTTCCCAAGTGAAAAAGGAGCTCGAGACTCAAGAAATAAAAAATGCATTGTATGAACCTTTTAGGAACCGTACCTGAATAGGGGGTGACACATCATTTATTTCAAACACGAAACCATCAGGGGGATCATAATGTCTGGGGAAAATGCCTGTGAAAATCTGCAAATGAATTTTGCAACACAGAGAGCCAATGAATTCTAAATAACTGAAAGTACATTTTTATAAATGTGGTTTAGGAACAGAGAAAGAAAAGTGTGTTATCAAGTTGAATACTGTGGAAATTAAAGAAAGATGACCTGCGAAGATGAAGCAAGGGATCTAGAACCCTGCCATATAAATTCAAGAGTCTTATCCCGGAGTCGCTTAGCTCTATCTTGGTAATCTATTCGAGCGAAAAAGAGGGAATCGAATCCTAACTGCAATGAGCATTAATTTTCTAGTAAGTTCCAATTGCAATAAGCCAATAAGCGATGATTGATGAAAGAAAAAGTGGGTAGATTACATATCATACCTCAGCACCAAGCAGGTAAGCTTGAACAGCAGAGTGGCCAAAAGGGTCAATCTGCCAGCCGATTCGAGGAACCTGACCAAATTCTTTCAGAATAAATTGATGGCCTAAAGTTGTCTGATCAATCAAGTCCATGTAATGCGGGGTGGCCTCGTCGTGCATACACATTCCTCCATTTCTTCAATACCCAAACCAAAAAATGCTTCTAAGAATTTAAGTAACAATTGAGTTAAAAAAATGTGCAAAGAAAGAAATATTTACATGAACTCGAGCTGACCAGAGCTGACTAGCTCCTTGACTTTAGCCTTCAAGGCCGGGCTTTGCTGTCTCCACCATCTCTGAAAGAATGCAATCTCGACATAGATGAACTTCCGATTCTTCTCCTCCAGCAAGGCCGAAATTACAGAGTCGAGGACGTTCTGAACGCAAGCGCCGCGAATTGAGTTGTTGGCGCCTACGAAGTACTGGTCAACGGTCTTAAGCCACCCGACGTCGTCGTGAGAGTGGGGAACTAAATGAACATTGATTTTTCCGGGGACAATTCCCGCCGACGTGTTATAAGCTATGTACTCCGATTTTGCTCCCGGTAACCCAGCCAATAAGACCGCCGTTGTCGCCGTGAACAGAAACAACGCCGCAGCGGTAGAAGCCATATACTGAAATTATTTACTCAGAGATTGCCTGAAAGAGCATATCAATAAGCGATCGGTATCTCTCACTGGACTTGCTTCACCGGAAAGCGAGAACTTCTTTTCTTGTCTAGTACCGGAGGTCTGGCGCGTGTCATTTTAATGATGATGATCATGAAAGTGATGGTTTGGTTTTAATTATTTTTTAATTTCCAACGGATATGCACGTAATTTTCTTTTCACTTATCCTATGACAAGTCCAGCCCATACTTAACCCACGGGCTGTTGATGGCAATCTCCAATATAGTAGCCCAAAATTGGATTAGGCCCACTCAAATCGGGATGTGCCGTTGTATGGTCGGTGCAATCCAGAGGTTTCCCATTTAAACCCTAATTGTTTTCAGAATTCAGAATTCAGAATTCGAAATCCCAACCATGGAAGACACGTTTAGGGTTCGAGTAGGCAAAATCTTCGGCTCGCTAGCCGGTTCATCGCCATCGCCGTCGCCATCGAGCGGTCCACCGTCGTCTCTGAGTTCGCTATGGTCCCTAACAGACGAGGAAATGGAGAGGAGGGAATGGAACAGAGACAAGGACAGCCCCGAACCCGAAGCTGAACCCCTACCCTTCTACTCAAAATCAAAGTCAAAGAATGATTTCAGTGACGACCTGGAGGAGGACCTTCTAGACCTTGACGACGACTTGGAAGACAAAGAAGAAGACGAGGAGGAAGATGCATCTCCTTCTTCTTCCAGTCAGCCTGCAACAAAGCCCAAGCCAGACGACTACAACGAAGAGGAGTGGGAAATTAAATCCTCAATCGGCTGGGACTGTACTCTCGACTTCGAGGTATTTATCATTCTATCTTGATTAGATTATCATGCCATCACTATGTAGTGTAATTCGATGTTTGAGCAAATCCGAAATCAGTATTGTAATGATGATTGATCCTAATTCCTGTGAACATTAAATAAGTGCTGAATCAAATTGTAATGATGATTGAGGGTTGGGACTGCCTGTATTAACCGTTTTTTCTTGTGTATGCAGGATGAGGAAGATGGATATGACAAAGTGGCTGTTGGCAAGGAAACCGCTGGAGATCGCTTGTATATGAGGGATGTCAACGACTATGGTATCGACATAGACACTCAAGATGAGGTTCCTAGTTCCATCAAGGATTTCACTAGAGACCCACGTGCCAATCACCTGGCAGCTAAGATTAGGCTCCAACAAGATGCTGAAGCAGCTCAAAAAATTGACTCCCTCAGGGTTTCTGGGAACGGCGCACCATCTGCCATAGCTGCTGAAAACATCTCTGAAGATGCTCCCAACCCGAAGTCGATTCTGAAGAGGAAGAATGATAATCAGTTAGACTCGTCTAAAACACAAAAACGTGTCCGGTTTGACTCCAACTGCAAAAGTAATGAAGATGTAGAGGGTGAGGGAGCCAAAGATGTTACTGTAGAAACTCATTCAAATGAAAATCCTGCAGTTCCGGATTATATACGAAATCCTTCAAGATATACGCATTATACGTTTGATTCATCAGGTGACGTAGATGAGGAGTCTAACAAGCAAGCCTATATGGACTTCCTTAATCTGGTGAGGAAATCAAATTCTATGGAACCACAGGCTGAGGATGCTTCTGTTGATCTTTCAAAACCTGTCACATTTATACCGAGAAAGAAATCAAGCGATGCTGTAATGATAGAATACGATGGGGAGTCAGAGAGACCAGGAGGTGATAGAAGGGAATCTGCGGCTTGTAAAGTGATGCCACTTGCCATTGCAGCGGAGGATAACGAAGATGTTTGCGCAATGGAGGAAGATGAACCGGATACAACAACGGATGGAAGAAGCAGTATACAGAGAACTGGACGCCAATACCGGACAAAAACCAGTTTGGAATTCGATGAGTGAATAAATTTTTCACTGATAGACGGACATGTGACATTTCAGAGTTAAGTAAACTGCCATTTTCATTTTCGTGTAATGTAATGATGTATTTCTCTAACAAAGCTGCGATTGAATGCTTACTGGTTTGCAATTTTGCATTCTTCATAACCCCTACGTGATTTGCTTGATAATTTCTGGAACGATAAAAACCTAATTCCAAGTCCCCTGTTAAGGAAGGGTGAATAATATTCAAGCAAGAATTAAACTTTTCTAGACAAGGGAAATAAACTTGAGCAGTCCGGGGAGCAGCTTTTTCATGCCGGAAATAGCAAATGCCTTCACGCATTGCACTGAAATCTACTTTTCTGGACTCCCGAGGGAATCTAAGATCGACTTGGTCAAAACAAAAATAAATAAATAAATGACATAGGAAATATGGATCGATGATATATTAGATGAGTAGAATGCATCGTTACCCCATCCCATTCCACTATATATGCCCAAAAGAGCAGACGGGGAACGGGGGTGAATGCAAGGTTCCTAGTTTTTGACCGAAATACTGAATTTCAATTCAATTTTCTCTCTTGACATGTGAGTTACAAAATGTGTCCATGGTTTGACATGTGCCTTTTCTGTGCATTTGAAGCACAATCTCCCAAAGCATAGAGGTTAGATCAGCCGACGGAATTACAGAACAATACAACAATAAACCCACAACCTGGAGTTGTTGCAAAGTCAAGAGCCTAAATAACAGTTTCATCACCTAGAACAAGCGCTTCCTGCAACCTGTGGCACCACAATGGCAGAACATCTTTTTCACTTTCCCATCGGGACCCATGACACTATCAAGGGCATAGCCATAGTCATATGTGAGCTCCTGTCATAAATCCAAAAATAATGTCAGCCACTCCAAAATTAAGTTTAAGATCCAAGTACTGGAACTCGCAGTTAAAGTCCACATAAAGAAGATTCCAAGCACGTCCAACAGAGAACAAATTCATATCAGGATCCTAAAATCAACAGAATTTAAAGCACCAAGACATTAACCTTGTTGGCTACAAAGTTCATAAACACACAACCCATTACTCCTTTTAAAAACGTTACCAGCATTTTTATCTCGGAACGTTCCCATTTTCAACCTCAAACAAACAAGATTGACTGATGATGAAAACGACCAAGAGAAAGAGAGATAGAGAAAGAGGGACCTGCAGAGGAGGTATGTTGTCCGCAGCAAACAGCATCACCCGAGCTAGTTTTAAGTCGTGGTGTGAGCTCAACACAGACTGGACAAACAGATTAGGCTCACAACTGTGATTTATAAATCTTGCTATGTTTCCACTTGAACCTGCATCAATGCAGAACTCTGGCCCGCTATCAGAGCTCTGATCATCAGGTCTCTCCAGTGAATGAACTGCTGGTATGGATACAGCTTGTGATCGCCTCTGTCAAAAAGATAAATGAGACAAATATCTCTGGGGTGCCCCTCAGCAAGATCAAAATACATTAATTGACAAAGAAAGATGTCATATGAAATGGCAGAGTGTAATTGAGTTTAACACAAAACATACAAATGGCTGTTTCCTCACAGAGATCCACATGGTCATGAAGGTGACGTCGTTAGATAGAAAGCCACTTGTGGGCAGTGTTCATCCAAAAATAGTCATATGTTCTAACAACTACAAGTTTACAAAATAGTCATTCTCTGCCAACATTTCATTATCAAGTTTGTCTGTACATACAAAAACTTTGTGATTAAATTCTTCCATGCATCAAAGCCAAAATATAAACCATCATCAACAATTCTTAAAAATATATCAGAACAACCATTAACTACCGAGATAATTAATTCATGCATGCAGAAACCAAGTAGGAGATTCAGTTTGCACGCACTAGGTTTTTAAAGCTATCAAATAAAGATGTGATCTTTTATCGAACAGTACAGAAAGCCACAGAGAGACTTCAAACTGGAAATGACAAATGCATTTCATATTGGAAAGTTGAATACAGCTGCAGTGGAAATACCTCTCTTCCATCCAGCCCCTTCATCGTTTGCAAGCAATCCATGTCAAATATGTAATAGTTCTCTAAGGCACTATCTACATCTTCTGTCCTTCTAATTACTCCTATGTACTCGCAGACTGGTGCTCCAGAAGGTATAAAATCCCATGATCTAACAGCCCATCCCTTCATTGGTGTCCGGAAAACCTGCTAATGCCCACTATTTAGAACCTTCATTTTAAACATGTACCACTTTGACAATAGCTAAGCAGTGATATTTGTGTAATCATGTGTTTATGTTCGATATAACCAAACAAAGTAGCAGCAATAACACCACCTCAAAACGATACTTCAGCCCTCTCTGAGAAGTACGATTGATGCAAGAAAGTCCACAACCACATTTTGGACCACATTCAAACACTACATCCTTCGCCTCAATTAATCTGGAAGATAAAACATATGCAAAAGTAGCCCCAAATAAGAAGTTAAGAACATAAAGCAATAACATCAGCCAAAACTATTAGGCATCTAATATCAAAATTTCATGTAGATACATTGATACAGCATCATGTTTAATGTATTGCTCACCTGCCACCATCACGCTGCACATATGGGAAATCATCGCCATTAAGCATGGTGCATGCACAAGTCTTGGGGTCTGTGCAAGAACCTTTGCAATTGCATCCAGTGGCATCTGTGGGAAGCTTCACATTTTGTGCAACTTGGATAGACTTACAATACGTGAAACCTGAAATTTAAGAATTTGACACCAGATTATTGTACTTGCCCTAGTCTAGAATAGAAAATCATTCAAGTGACTGTTTGAACAAATTGGAGGAGACCACATGTCCATGAAAAAGTTCAACCGCCACATCTAGGAATTGGACACAATCATGTAGTGTGAAATAGATGATTAATGAGATGTTAAAATTTGAGATTGACAACTCAATGATAATTAGGGAAAATTTATTTTATTCAGATGCACATGTGCGTCCAAGACGGGGAAAATTTCTAAAATTTGATAATTCAACTTGCCTGTGGGTGCAACAGGTGGATCATCAACCAAATTGGTAGCCGGAATGGGAACATCCTCTTGGCCCCCACTGATGTCCTCACACACCAATCTTAGTAATAAAACAAAAGAATGTAATTACAATTACAATTTGAAACGAAGTTTAAAATATGTTAACATTTTAACTGTGTTCCACCAAATACCCGCGTATTTCTGCTACAGACTGCGGTACACGTCCATTGATAAATTGAACCTGCTAAACGATTGAGCATGTTAAAGAAAATAATAACTCAAATACATAGTTGCTCACTGATTCACCATGCTAGACATGTCGAAATGAAAATGAGACAAGACATTCTGAAATTCTGATTCTATAAACAGGAATAACCCACTGAGATATATTACCATACCTAGAGATAATAATGCAATCTAGTTCAATTGTGAGCACAGGCACAACAACAAAATTGAGCAAAAAAATTGAAATAGAAAAGCAGGGCCAAAACATTGGTTAAAGTTAAACAGAGGAATTAAAAATAACAGCAGTAGCATAACAAATTACATTAAGGACTAAAGCATGCTTGCTAGGAAAGAAAAAAGTGAGAAAATTTCCGATATTAAAATAGAATTGTCTTCAAATGATGTGACACCAGAGCAGACTAAGAAAAAAGAGGACTCTGGTGCACCTTATTATGAATAATTATAGTACCAAATAAGACTTAAGTAAACTCTAATAGTCTCTTCTGTATTATGAATATCAAGAAGATATTTATTTCTTGAATGTACACTAATCCCATCGTAATAACTTAGAAATGGTAGCACACAAAAAAATTACAGATTATGTGACAAAACAAAATAATTCCTCCGTTTGCTAACCAATAACAGAAGAATTTCTACACATAGTCTGGACAAAAATTGCCTCAAATAAGGCTCTTCTTGTCGGTAATGGAGAAAAAGATGCAAAAAAGTACTACTGAAAAAAAATATAACCTGGTTAGTGGTCAACACTGGCTGCCCTTCAATACGCCTAAGACGATACTTAAAAACAGTAAATCCAGAAAGACCCTTCTCTGCCCAATACTGAACAACCTGTAAAATGAAAGTTAAAGTTAGTCAGAAGCAAAAAGGTCGATCTACCATTTCTTTATATGCAACTACATGACTAATTGTTTCATTGTTAACATCAGCAGAAAGTTCAACAAACAAGTAGTGCTTGATAATTAAAGTGATAGCTATGGTTTTAGTGAGATATAGAGAAAAAAAATAGTAAAAATAGTAAATAACATGCTTCAGAGAATTTTACCTTGTACAAACCATCGTAAGTGTAAACTTTGCCAACATAACTACTTTTACAATCATGCCCACGAACTACTCTAACAGGTACACATTGGTCCACACAATTCTGCAATTTGTGAGAACATATAAAATTCTTAGATTGTTTGTGATTATCGATTGGAACCTATAGACCAAAGGTTCAGATAATTGGATATCCTCATGTCTGCCGTTAAAAACCAAATCCTTACTTGTGGTCCTTGTTAGAGAATAACTCATACATTTGAAAAGAGAACTTATAACTATCAGTTTAATTTATAGATTGATTCATAAGAATACCTGATATATAGGACTAAGTTACTTTGAAGCAGTGACAACTAACAAGAAACCAACACAAGTTAACTACTCTGATATAGCCAACTCACATTGCAAACACACAGGACGAACAATAAAAAGAACCATTGAATGTATAAACAACTACCATTCCAAATGGAAAAGGAGAACAAAATTGTAAAACAAAAAGTAGAAGACTCTAAATGCACACCTTGAGCGCTAAATTACCACGTTCTAGAACTTGGTCTCGAATTTGACGCTTATCACCTGTCAAATTATGACCACCTTGGCCAGTATACACAACATCCTCAGCATTATCCAAATCATCCTCATACATGCCAGATATAACAATGGCCACTGCGAGTGGAAATGTGTAGTTACTGTACTCCTGCATTAACAACAAGGGGAAAATCTGAAGTTGCTTCTTATTTATTAACTTAGACTAGAACATCATACGAGCAAAAGAAAAGAGGACCAACATCAACATCAACACTTTTGGACGTTTGTATATTACATACTAATCACAGTAGAGACAACCCCCTACCCACCAAACAATATGTTAAATTGTTAATAATGAAATAAATATACAAGTTATAATAAATAAATAAAAAATTGTAGGTTTATTCTCAAGTTTTCAAGTCCACAGAGGAAAAAGTATGCATTACCCCTTTGCCGTAGTTTTGCCCCATATAGTCAATCCCATTCAGCCAGTGGCTATGAAAACCAACAGCAACCATTTCAGCCCGAGAATAGAACTGATGCCCAACATCAATACCTGCCAGGAAGGGAAACTTTAGCACCCACAAATAAAAATCTTCGGAAAAAAGAGAGTACATATTTCAAAAGCAACTGTTTTCAACTGTTTTTTTTTTTTTTTTTTTTTTTGGAGAAGAAACAATTTTATTAAAGAATAGAGTAACTGTTTTCAATTATCAATCTCATAAACATATCATAATCAAACCAAAATGTATTTCAGTCAACAAAACCAATAAAAGCACATGGCATAAAGGCACAATCAACCAAAGTGAGAATCACAAACCTGGAATGCTTCCGATTCTTTTAGTGGCATTCAAAATTTCTTTTCTCTCCATCATCTGCTAGACATTATAATTTAAAAGCAAGAGAAAAACAGGGGCAGATTACATCAGACCTTATAATCATGAATGTGACCATCATATTCCCAACAGGAACATCATTCTTTTACTCACTAACACGAATTTTATTATTAAAGAAAGGTACAAGAAAGACAAACATGTCCATCAAAATCAGGATAAGCTAATTGCATTAAAATAAAAAAAATTCCCCAATCAACAAGAATAACACTAAAAGGAACATCATTGACTGTTATTACAAAACAAAGTCATCATATTGATATCAAGTAGGAAACTCATAAAACAAGAGTCGTGTCACAACGATTAACACCAGCACCAATGTTCCATTCATTTTCACGTTACTTCAGAATTCCTAAGAATAGTACATCAGAATCACTTTACAAAACATAAGTATCTGCACAGCACTTGCACCTAAGATCGTTTGAATTTAAAATATATGACATTGTGAAAACACAAAGAATATGTCTATCATGAGAAGACAGTGATGAGGCAAGAATCATTCTGACTTGCCTTGGATACTGCCTTCAAATCAGGTCGTTTTGACGCCTTTGCCTCTGGCGGGGAAGCCTCTTTCTGCGGGAATTTGTTCATTTAGGGAAACATATTAAAGACCAAAATGCTCAGTCTCGAGACCACATGCATGTTAAGCAAAAGAGTAAGTAAGATAAACTGACCTTAGATTTTTTCGAAGATTTCGAGCCCTTTTTTGCGGATTTGGAGGCCTTCTTATCAGCCTCCACTTTTCTGCACCTCATTTCTTCTTCCTATGAATCAAATTTCTAAAAGTTGACCGTACTTCTTACACAAACATTTTCAACATTTAAACATGCAAATAGGGTAAAATCTGAGCTCAATCCTCACGAGGACAAACCTGTACGAAATAAAGGTAATGCTTGTTGAACAGCCTGAGGGTCTCTTTGACCTTAGCATGGTCGCTCTTCTCAACCGAAGAATCAGTGGGTTTGCTGGCTCCGTCTTCTAAACCACCGTTAGAGCCGGCGTCGCCAGCCTCATTTTTAGCATGGGAGCTTTTTCCACCGTCGACATTGGGTCTTTTGCTGAGGCTACCTCCGTCTCCCCCTCCGTCTTGCTCTCCTCCGTCTCTGTGCTCATCAAGTAATGCAACTCTTTTGCGGATCAGGAGTTGCTTCTGGGGTTTCTCTTTGCCCTTAAGGCGAGAACTAGTTCTCCTTCGCGGCGGCGAAGAAATCTCGTTTTTGGAATGTGGGTCTGCAGCGTCAGCGCCTCCTTCAGCAGATTTCACCACCATTTTTCACTCACTCGAAGGTATCTGCAGAAGCGAGAGAGTGATTTTGGGAAAAACTTGAGATTCTAGGGTTTATCAGGAGGCGTCGAGTCACACATGAAAATTGGAGCCTTGATTTAGGGAGCTGAGAGAGAGGGAGAGAGTGTGTGTGTGGGGGAGCGTGGGGGCGTATTCGTGGGTTTGCTGGCGTCACTGTTGACTGTCGTGTACTGGTTTCAGAAGAGTACGGACAGGCCTTGATTCCCGCCCTCGCCCCTTCATCACCATTCCTCCCTCCCTCTCCTTCACTTTAGGCTTGAGGCTTGAACGCTCCTCAGATTTGGCCTCTTCCCGAGGAAGGAAGGGTATTCTTGTCAAATCGAAACTAGAGTTTCCATAATTAGATACATTTTCCCTTGTAAATTGGTGTATTGTCCGATTTTAGACATTTATGGGTATTTTTCCTTACTTGTAAAATTCATTTTCTGATATTTTTCTAAGATAATTAAATTGTAAAATAAAGTTTTTAATATGTTTATGGATATTCTTGGTCCTAAAAAAAATAGATACAATACTCTTTGACAGTAAAGGCACGGTACTCTTAGGTAGGTAACGAAGATAAAATACATTATTAGATTAAATGTTTGGATATCTCATTTTGCATACTACATTTTTATTTTGTCAAATGATAAATTTTTATTAGATTAAATGTTAAATTAATTATTGATGATATTTGAACACACTCCATCATGTAAGAAATAGTCACTTTCTTTTGTATATCACATTTAAACCACCTTCCTTTTAAAAAAGGAAAAATATAACAAGCAAATGCGTAAATAAAAATATTTTTGTCTCTTTGTTTTTCAAAGAAACAAAGTAAGGATACCTCGTTATATGTGCTCAAATTTATATTTAAAAATAATAAAAAATAAAAGCATTTTTAAAGTGCTACGTAGAATCTTTTGTGCTTCAACATATCTGTCAAATGTTGTTCAAAAAAAAAAAAGATGTCAAATGAGTTTTAAATTTAGAAAATGTCGTATGCTCTTTAAATTTAAATATTATTATATTAACATGTTTTTGTCTGACTTTTTTCTAAAAATGAAATATTGAAAAGAGTTCACATTATGGAAAGTAATATAAAATAGAGTATGCAAAAGTAAATTTGTGAATCAACAAATTTTAGTTTTTAAACTGCTATTCGGGTCAACAAAATTGTATTTAAAAAGTCACATTTAGATAAATTGTTGAATATGCTGTTAAGGTATGTTTACTTAGGATACCTTCATTTTCATACACAAACTCATCAAGACCTATCCACTTTTTATTCATTTGAATGTTAGTGAACACATGATACTTGCTACTTTCCACTTCATTCATGGTGGGTAAACATTAGTGAATACGCATATAAATCATTCAATGAGAAGGTAACTACCATTCAGTAATACTTTTTGCATATCCTTTAATTTAATTATTTATTAAACTTTTCTCAAACAATCAATAGTGTGAGACGGTTAATCAAATTTGGACATCTGATGCAAAGGTAAGCGCTATTATCAAACTACAAGCCGTATACTTAGTTTAAGTGTTTTTCTTATTGGTACTTTTTGGTGTTTGAACATGAGATTTTGCATTCACATCAAGTGGCCTAAACTCTCACTCCTTGGTATAAATATTTGTGGAGCCAAAAATAATCAAAGAAATTATGAAGGTGACATGTGGATTTTTGGGGAAAAAACCAAAATTATATAACAGCTAAATCAATGAAAAGTCAAAGGTAATCAAAATGGTATTTATTCAAATCTATCTCATCACTCCTCATCAAATCCTTATTCAAAAAGTAGCTCCCAATTTTCATATTCAATTTAGGTTTAATTGCCAAGTTAATTGCAATATATTATTTCATATAATATCTTACAATTATACTCACAATTTGACCATATATGACCGACCCCTATTCACTAAATAAGGCCGGCCACTCCCCTATAAATGACTATGTTTCCCCACTAAAAAGTTAAGGCATTTGCCACCCACAAACTTCTAAACACATTATTTTCATAATTCTAACTTTGGCATCGGAACTCCGCCGTGTAAGTTTATCTTACATTGCCGGTCCCAAGCCCGGATAAAGGAGGAGGGGGAGGGTGTCAGGTAGTCGACAGCCGGCACTCCATGATCACGTCGAATCCTTATGAAAATGAATCCAGAACGAAATCGCGCTAAAGCTAGGGCGTCACCCGTAAGTGGCGCGCTGTGTGGCCCGAGCACAGTGATAAGTGAGCAAGGGTCGCTGTATCTCCATCGGCACCCGGATGCAGTGTTAAATGAGCAAGGGGGCTATAGAAACTTCTTTTCGAACGACTCCACTCAAAGTTGTTTGGGAGCATATGCTCCTATCAACTTTACACGGGACACACAAAAGAAGTACTTTGATCCTATTAGACGGGGAATGGTGAAGAAGCTAGGACAGAAGGGTAGAGTTCAAGAGAGCAAAATGCGTTTAGGAACGTGGAATATAGGAACCTTGACGGGAAAATCTATCTATGGAAGTAGTAGAAGTTATGGTGAGGAGAAGGATAAATATTATGTGCCTACAAGAAACTAAGTGGGTTGGTCGTAAGGCAAAGGATCTAGAAAACTCAGGGTTTAAACTATGGTATTCGGGCACAAATAGAACGAGAAACGGTGTTGGCATCATCGTGGACAAGACCTTGACACAAGATGTTGTAGATAGATGTCAAGAGGGTAGGAGATAGAATCATGGCAATCAAGATTGTAATAGGACAAGAACTTATCAATGTGATTAGTGCGTACGCACCTCAAGTAGGGTTGGATACGAGTTCGAAGGAGAAATTTTGGGAAGACCTTGGAGACTTGGTGCAAGGAATTGCTCAGACGGAGAAGTTATTTTATTGGATGAGATTTAAATGGACACGTGGGCAGGGAGACAGGCAACTATGGAGGTTTTTCATGGGTGGCCATGGTTTTGGGGAGAGAAAACGAGGATGGGGAAGCTATCTTGGATTTTGCAATGGCATATGATCTCTTCTTAGCCAACACCTTCTTTAAGAAGAGAGAAGAAGACACATGTGATCACCTACAAGAGTGGTCGTCAAAAACACAAATAGATTTTCTTCTAATGAGGAAAGGGGATCGTATAACTTGTAAGGATTGCAAAGTTATACCAGGAGAGAGCGTGGCTAATCAACATCGCTTGTTGGTGATGGATGTACATATCAAAAGAGTGAGAAAAAAGAACAAGACTTGGAAGTGTCCAAGGACTAGATGGTGGAATCTAAAAGAATAAAAACAAGTCATTTTCAAAGAGAAAGTAATCACCCAGTGTGTGTGGGATAGAGAGAGGGAAGTTAACCAAATGTGGGATTCCATGGCTAGTTGTATCCGAAAAGTAGCAAAAGAGGTATTAGGAGAGTCCAAGGGCTTTGCCCCACACCAAAAGGAATCTTGGTGGTGGAATGAGGAGGTACAAGCAAAGGTGAAGGCTAAGAAGGAATGTTGTAAAGCCTTATACAAGGATAGGACCGATGAAAATGGTGAAAGGTATAGAAAAGCGAAGCAAGAGGCGAAGAAAGCTGTGAGAGAAGCTAAGTTAGCGGCTTATGACGATATGTATAAGCGACTAGATACCAAAGAATGAGAGTTGGATATCTATAAACTAGCCAGAGCAAGGGAAAAGAAGACAAGGGACCTAAACCAAGTGAGGTGCATCAAGGATGAGGATGGAAATGTTCTTGCTAAAGAGAACGCGGTTAAAGACAGATGGAAAGGTTATTTTCATAATCTTTTCAACGAAGGACATGAAAGGAGTGCTTCTTTAGGGGAGTTGAGTAACTCAGAAGAGTGTAGAAACTACTATTTTTTATCGTAGAATCCGGAAGGAAGAAGTGGTTGTAGCTTTGAAGAAGATGAAGCATAGAAAAGCAGTAGGCCCAGACGATATACCAATCGAAGTGTGGAAAGTTTTGGGAGAGACAGGTATAACATGGCTTACTGACCTTTTCAATAGGATTTTGAAAACGAAGAAGATGCCGAATGAGTGGCGAATGAGCACTTTGGTGCCTATCTACAAGAATAAGGGCGATGTACAAAATTGCATGAACTATAGGGGTATTAAGCTAATGAGTCATACAATGAAGCTCTGGGAGAGAGTCATTGAGCATAGATTGAGGCAAGAGACACGGGTTTCGGACAACCAATTCGGGTTCATGCCAGGGCGCTCAACCATGGAGGCAATCTATCTCTTACGAAGATTGATGGAAAGATATAGAGATGGGAAAAAGGATTTACACATGGTCTTTATAGATTTGGAAAAAGCGTATGATAGGGTCCCAAGAGACATTCTTTGGAGGATTTTAGAGAAGAAAGGAGTACGAGTAGCATATATCCAAGCTATACATGATATGTATGAATGAGCAAAGACTGCCGTAAGAACTCATGAAGGACAAACCGAAAGCTTTCCCATAACTGTAGGATTACATCAAGGCTCATCCTTAAGTCCTTACCTTTTTGCGTTGGTAATGGATGAGTTAACAGGACATATTCAAGGTGATATTCCTTGGTGTATGCTTTCGCAGACGATATAGTGTTGATAGATGAAACTTAGGAAGGGGTAAATGCAAAGATTAACCTTTGGAGAGAAGTGTTGGAATCTAAAGGTCTTCGCCTAAGCCGATCAAAGACAGAATATATGGAGTGCAAGTTCAGTGCAAATGGAGGCCAAAACGAGTTAGGGGTAAGGATTGGAGATCAAGAAATACCAAAGAGCGACCGTTTTCGTTACCTAGGATCTATCTTGCAAAAGAACGGAGAATTAGATGGAGATCTCAACCATAGAATACAAGCTGGATGGATGAAGTGGAAGAGTGCATCCGGCGTGTTGTGTGACCGCCGTATGCCACTGAAGCTCAAGGGAAAATTTTATAGGACGGCAATAAGGCCGGCGATGCTGTATGGCACAGAATGTTGGGCGGTGAAGCATCAACACGTACACAAAATGGGTGTAGCGGAGATGAGGATGCTTCGCTGGATGTGTGGGCACACGAGAAAGGATAAGATTAGGAATGAGGATATCCGGGGTAAAGTAGGAGTAGCCGAAATTGAAGGAAAGATGAGAGAAAATCGGTTACGGTGGTTTGGACATGTGCAAAGAAGGCCTACTGACGCTCCGATTAGAAGATGCGACTATGGGACAGAGGTTCAGGGCCGAAGGGGTAGAGGAAGACCTAGGAAAACTTTGGAAGATACCCTAAGAAAAGACTTAGAGTACTTGGATCTAACGGAGGACATGACACAGGACAGAACACAATGGCGTTC